TTTATAGCAACATGGATGGACCTAGAGATCATCATTCTAAGTGAAGTAAGCCAGAAATAGAAAGAAAAATACCATAAGATATCACTCAAATGCGGAATCTAAAAAAAAAAAAAAAGGAAAATAAACACTATGAACGCCTCTACAAAACAGAAACAGACTCCCAGACATAGCAAACAATCTTATGTTATCAGGGAAAGGGGGTGGTAAGGGACAAATTTGGGAATTTGAGTTTTGCAAATGTTAACCACTACATATAAAAATAGATTTAAAAAAAATTTATTCTGTATAACACAGGGAACTATATTCAATATCTTGTAAAAGCCTTTAATGAAGAAGACTATGAAGATGAATATATGTATGTATATGCATGACATGGACATTGTGTTGCACATCAGATATTGACACATTGTAACTGACTGTGCTTCAATTTTAAAAAAGTTAGTAGAAGAAAATAAACCATAAAGATCAGAGCAGAAATAAATGAAATAGAGATTAAAAAAATAGAAAAGATCAATGAAACTAAAAGCTGGTTCTCCGAAAAGATAAACAAAATTGATAAAGCTTTAGTCAGACTCATCAGGAAAAAAAGGGAGAGGGCCCAATTTAATAAAATCAGAAATGAAAAAGGAAACGACACAACTGACACCACAGAAATACAAGGGATCACAACTAGACGCCAACAAAAAGGAAAACCTAGAAGAAATGGCCAATTTCTTAGAAAGTACACTTTGCCAAGACTAAGTCAGGAAGAAACAGAAAATATTAGTAGACCAATCACCAGCACTGAAATTGAATCAGTAATTTAAAAACTCCCCATAAACAGAAATCCAGGACCAGGTGGTTTCACAGGTGAATTGTACCAAACATTAAGAGAAGAATTAGTACCTATCCTTCTCAAACTATTCCAAAAAATTTGCAGAGAAAGGAACACTTCCAAGCTCATTCTATGTGGCCACCATTATGCTGATAACAAAACCAGACAAATATATCACAAAAAAGAAAATTATAGGCCAATATCACCTATGACTATAGGTGCAAAAATCGTCAACAAAATACTAGCAAATTAAGTGCAACAATACATTAAAAGGATCATATACCATGATCAAGTGGGATTTATCCCATGGATGCAAGAATTTTTCAATATCTTCAAATTAATCAGTATGATACACCACATTAACAAACTGAAGAATAAGAACCATATGATCATCTCAATAGCCGCAGAAAAAGCTTTTGATAGAACTCAGCATCTATTTATGAAAAAATTATCTAAAAAGTGACATAGACCGAACATACCTCAATATAATAAGGACCATATATGACAAACCCACAATTCACTTTATACTTAATGGTGAAAAGCTGAAAGCATTTCCTCTATGATCAGGTACAAGACAAGGATGCCCACTCTTGCCACTCTTATTCAATATACTTTTGGAAGTCCTAGCCTTAGCAATCAGAGAAGAAAAAGATATAAAGGGAATCCAAATCAGAAAACAAGAAGTAAAACTGTCACTTTTCACAGATGATATGATATTATACATAGAAAACCTTAAAGAAGTGACCAGAAATCTGCTAGAGCTCATCAATGAATCTGGTAAAGTTGCAGGAATCACAGTTAATACACAGAAATCAGTTGCATTTCTATACTCTAACAACAAAGTAGCAGAAAAAGAAATTAAGGAAACGATTCCATTTACCATCACACAAAAAAGAATAAAACACTTAGGAATAAACATACTCAAGGAGGCAAAGGATCTGTACTCCAAAAACTATAAGACACTGATGAAAGAAATTGAAGATGACATAAACAGATGGAAAGATATATGTGTTCTTGGATTGGAAGAATCAATATTGTTAAAATGGTCATACTGTCTAAGGCAATATACAGATTCAATGCAATCTCTATCAAATTACCAATGACATTTTTCACAGAGCTGGAAAAAAATGTTCAAATTTGTCTGGAAACACAAAAGACCCCAAATAGCTAAGTCAGTCTTGAAAAAGGAGAATAGAACTGATAAAATTATGCTCCCTGACTTCAGACTATACTACAAAGCTACAGTAATCAAAACAATATGGTACTGGCACAAAAATAGAAATGAAAATCAGCGGAACAGGAAAATCCAGAAATAAGCCCACATATTTATGGTCAATTAATCTACAACAAGGTGGACAAGAATATACAATGGAGAAAAGGCAGTCTCCTCAAGTGGTGCTGGGCAAACCAGACAGCTACCTGTAACAGACTGGAATTAGAACGTTCTCTACCACCATGTGCAAAAATACACTCAACATGGAATAAAGACCTAAATGTAAGACCAATACTATACAACTCCCAGAGGAAAACATAGGCTGAACATTATTTGACACAAATCACAGAAACACATTTTTAACCAGTTCCTAGATTAATGGAAATAAAAGCAAAAATAAACAAATGGAATCTAATTAAACTTAAAAGCTTTTACACAGCGAAGGATACCATCAACAAAACAAAAAGGCAACCTACAGAATGGGAAAAAATATTTGCAAATGATGTGACCAATGAAGGACTAATATCAAAAGTATACAAACTACTCATACACCTTAATATCAAAAACAAGCAACTCAATTGAAAAATTGGCAGAAGATCTAAAGAGACATCTCTCCAAAGAAGACATCCAGATGACCAACAGCCACATGAAAAGATGCTCAACATCACTCATTATTCGAGAAATGCAAATCAAAACCACAGTGAGATCTATATGAAACCTAAAAGACACAGGATTGCGAAAGCAATACTGGAGAGAAAAAAATGAAGCTGGAGGAATAAACTTTCTAGACTTCAGACAATACTACAGAGCTACAATAATCAAAACTACTTGGTATTGGTACAAAACAGACATATGGATCAATGGAACAGAATAGAGAGCTCAGAAATAAACCCACAGGCTTTTGGTCAATTATTCTTTGACAAAGGAGGCAAGAATATACAATGGAGTAAACACAGTTTCTTCAGCAAATAGTGTTGGGAAAATTGGACAGTTGCGTGTAAATCAATGACATTAGAATACCCCCACACACCATACATGAAAATAAACTCAGTACGGCTTAAAGACTTAAACATAAGACAAGGTACTATAAACCTCCTAGAAGAAAACATAGGCAAAACATTCTCTGACATAAATCTTGGCAATGTTCTCCTAGAGCAGGCTACCCAGGAAGTAGAATTAAAAGGAAGCATAAACAAATAGGACCTAATTAAAATTTATAAGCTTTTGCACAGAAAACAAAACTATGAGCAGAACAAAACAACAGTCTATGGAATGAGAGAAAATATTTGCAAAAGAAGAGATTGACAAGGTCTTAATTTTCAGAATATACAAACAGCTGACACAGCTTAAGAAAAAAGCAAATAACCTAATTCAAAAATGGGCAGAAGACCTAAACAAGCAATTCTCCAATGAAAACATACAAATGGTCAATAGGCACATGAAAAAATGTTCAATGGCAGTAATTCAGAGAAATACAAATCAAAACTACAATGAGGTATCCCTTCACACCAGTCGGAATGGCCATCATTCAAAAGCCCACAAAACCCACCTCTTTTTGGTGCACTTTTTCAGCTTATAGGGGCATTTCAGAATCAAATTTTCATCTGCATTTGCTGGCGTTTGGTGGTCTATGAGGGACTTGGTCAGTGCTTCTTTGACTGAATACGAGGCTGTCTTGACCTGTTCACACATGGTTATGGTGTCAGTAAGATGGTGGAATAGAAGATTCCAGCCTGAATCCCTTCAAAGAAACATGAATATAAATAATCATTCATTCAAAACCACGCTTTTACAAAGGACAGTTTATAGACTCAAGTGGAGCACCGAAATTGGAAAATTTGCATTGAAGAAGGTAGGAAGGAGCTTTATACTCTACCTGAGTCACTCTTTACCTAGTACCATGACTCACGGGACAGGTTTTTCCTCTTCTTCTTCTTCTTCTTTTTTTTTTTTTCTTAAC